TTAAGCCCCCTCCTTTTAAAAGGCTTCAGTCGAAAAGATAAATAAAATTCATTACGCTCCCAGCCTCTAGTAAGCCCCCACCCCTGTATAGGAACGTCATGCTCGTTTTCTCTTGGCACGCCTTCGAAAGTCATTTTCCCTGTTGACATTATAAATAAAAAATTAYAAATTTGCAATGATCTGGAAAATTCATTAAGCCCTCAGCCTTTAATGATTAAGCCCACATTCTAACAAGCCTCYAAACCAATGAGGACTGGGGAAAAAATAAGCCCACAGGCAGAGTTACTCTGTGGAGACATACCACTGCTAAATGTTATTATTTAGGGGCTAACTTTTAATATAGTCAAGTTAATTCTGATAATAAAGGCTTTATAGGCTAGCAATAGTTTGTCTCTCATTCTCGCTTCTTTCAGCTCTGGTATACAATTTGGTATTTCCATAATTGTATGCCGCGCAAAAAATCTTCAAAATCAACAACTGTAGCTACTTAATTTCATCTGTTTTTTTTCTTCTATAGTACCGGAAACGAAATATCTATCCAATAACAATAAAATGTTTGTGGAATTTTTTTGGGGCCTATCCTAGAGTGCATTCCAGGGATTCTTTATTTTTAAGGAAAAAGTTGTTCTTATGGATACAAAGAACTGGAACTTCTTAGAAATATCGACTTTATGATCAAATGTTCTCTGCTTGCCGGAATTTCCGTGTCTTAGAGAAATAGATATAACGACAGATGTGCTTGAAGTCAAAAACGTCTTTGTCTTTGAGGGCATGCAAGCGAGGCTCATGGGTCATTAACCGTAACGTCTGCCACTACATCATTTTGGGACCGCAAAGTTACCTCGATTTTGAAATTTGTTATCAACAAATATCTTTCAAGTTTTTGACGTTTTGAGTAAGATAATACATATCCCTAGGAGGAACTCCGCCAAGAACGCAGAAGTTCATGTCTTCACATTCAGTCAACATTGTAGTGTAAGAGGTATCGAATTTGTTTGATTCGTCCATACATTGTAGTGAGAGTTTATTAGCCATTATGCCGAGATAAACGTCATCTATATGGATCAGTTTTTCCTAGAGAGAGAAATAGAATTTATTATTATTAATGCGAGAGAATGTAAGAGTCGGAGTGCGTAACGGGACGACAGCCATGTTAGATGGCAGGAAATGAATGTAAAAACTCCCGAGAGCAAAGGGATTTTATTGCTCTGCCATCTAACCACAGGCAGCCCAAGCTCTATTCATCTTCCACTCATCTATTTGTATCGTTTGGAACCAGTTGTCCATAACTGTGAGTCACAGTTTCATGAACTAGTCATACTGTAATATGTTTATCTTACCTTAACTGACAAATCTACGATCTTCTCCACGACATCATAAGATATGGTAATCCCCATACCCGACGCGTAGGGAGGAAGACGATTCTCTGGCCATTCCTCTTCAGAAATGTACCACGGGCTCTTTTCGTTCCGCACAACTTTGGCCCCTCCTACGTCATGTCCATGACAGAACCCTAAATAAAGTCCCTCGTTGGCATCTTCGTTCTTCTTTCTTAAAAACGAAATTAACTCATCGGTGTTGACGAAACTTTCGTCTGTCGCTTTGAGAACAAATTTAGCCTTGCAAGCTGTGGTAGCCCATTTTAGACCAAATAATACCTTAACCGAATGCCCTTCATTCTTAAGATAGAAATCTTTGAAACCTCCACGTAGGATATCCTTATATCTTTTCGATTCTCTTTTGACGAGCCGATCGTGATCGTCATCCGAACCGACGACGTAAACCACCCGAAAGCTCTCGTTACTGGTCTCGTTTTTCTTCGAGTTATCTTCGCCCCATGATTTACGGATAGCTTTACGAGCTTGAAAATTCCGACTGGAAGTTACGACAATAATAAGAAGGAATAAATCTTCTGGACAGTCCTGTGGAGTTATGGTAAACCCTTTTTTCTTCAATAGAGGAGGATATGGTTCGATCTTTCTTGTTGGTTTTTCAGTTTTCTTCTCGGTCGGCTCGGTTGGCTCCTGGGTTATTTCCATCACTTCTGTCACCTGTGTCGAGACTAGTTCTTCTGGTACAGGCACGGATGTAACTCTGATATCAGTGGGTTTCTCTTCCTTAACTTTAGGCGTCTCCGGACTGCACAAGATAAGTAACCCAAAAGCAATACCGAGAAAGAATGCTACGACAAAAACAGCTAAATTCTCCCGAATTTTTCGCCCCAAGACACGAAGCCTGAGCGCCATTTTATCTCAAATCTGTAACTGGAATAAAAACCTTGTTTTGCCACGAGTTCTATATTTTAATTAATGTTCAATCTCAGACGATTCTTCTGTGTTGGTCGTGAATACACGCATAAAAGATTTCCATAGAGATATTTGCCGGCTCGAAAACAATGCAGTCAACGTGACTTGCCGAACGACCAGTAATATATGTAGTTTTTCATTCAAAGTTCAACAAATAAGAAAAAATATCTATATTCTAATTCACTAAAGAATATTTAACAATTAGCATATACCAACTTGTGTACTTCCTCAGAATAATTGCTAATTATTCGCCGAAGACAAAGTGAATATCGATGAATATTGAACGAGACGCGAACCGGTGAGGTAAATATTTACTATATTCACCGAGCCTGAGGTGAATAATCAGTTTCAAACTTGAATATCTAAAAAAACACGAAGTGCAGGATAATATTTTAGCATTACTTCCGCTTAGTTTTGGCAAACATTGGAAAACCTCATAATCAACGCTCGTCCATCGTCTCATAATCACTGGTTGCTCGACCAATCACAGCGCGAGAAACTCGATATTCAACAAGTCTAAAATCATACTAAATAGTAAGTTGGAAATTTTAACTTTAATTAATTAATTAAATAATAATAATATAAAAAGTTAATATTCATCATAATATGATTCGAGCGCCGCGTCGTATCAAGTTAAATATATAGTGCAAGCTATATCGTGAAATAGTACTAACTAATTGTACAAAATAATAGCACCAATGAAACAATAAGTTTTTGAGCTTATTTCACAGATATATGGTTTACACACTTAATTTTTTGGCACATGCAGAAACACGTTGATGGCTAGAAAAGTTTTAAATGAAATACTCAGTTTTTTAACGAGTTTACACCCATTCTACCTAACCAGCTCACTTAATTGCCCTATTTCACTATGACGTCAC